TGCAAACCCTGAGTATCCCTGGAGGAGCAGCAAAACCTTGGGAGATGCACTAACCCTTCATCTGTCTGAAGAGGGTCCCAGCCCGCTGTCTCCAGTCCCATGGCCTGTTGCTGTTGCTGCCGTTAACCACCATCTGTCTGCAGACACTGGGGTGTGTGGCTTTTGGGAAGGGCCTTTGGGAAAAGCAGTGCCAGGCAGTGGCAAAGGTTCCTTGTGCAGATGCGAGGCACCCAGACAGCTGCTGAGCACAGCGGGATGGGCAGGAGAGGAAATGGAGACCTTGGGGACTTCAGTCACTTAATAGCAGTAACCATGGTCAGCAGGGCAGGGGACTCGTTTCTGGTGTGGAGAGATTCTTTTCCTTCCCTTTCTCAATCAGAGAGTACTGTGCTTGTCTTGGGAAGGGAGTTAATTGGGATGCAAAGTCCTGAAGCGGAGCTCCTTGGGCACAGACAGTTTCTCAGGAAGGATGAAGGTTGATTTATGCCTGCTGGGTTTATGCTTGCCACTCTAAGCTTAACTTGGCTAATCTTACAGATGCTCTTCTCATCCTGGATCCCAGCTCCGTGCTGGGCTTCCAAAGAAGCTGCTGCCTGCTCTGACCTTTCATGTGAGGTGCTTCTTTCTCCTTCAGCATCCACATTTGCCTGGCAACGTCACCTGCATTCATGGTCAGAGCCACAGAACAGCCAGAGGCTGAAGTTGGAGGGAGGGGAGTTTGATGTAGTTCCCGTTTCTGTCTTCTTTTTCTCTGCAGGAAAACTGTTCCTTAATGACACAGAAAACTCATAATGCAGATGTTTGTGGGATGACTTTTCTGCTGTGAAGCACTGTACAAACTGAAGTTCTGCATTTCAAAGATGCCTGGGTCGATGCAGGTTTTGGTGGCGTTACTTGGGCGTGCCAGGGAGTAGAGTTTGGTTTGCTGTGCTGTTGTTTCTCTTCCCTCCTGTTTCCCATTTAGCTTGTGGCTGACTGCTGCTGCCACCCAGTATCTTTCCAAATCCCATGTGAAATTAATCCCTGGGTCCCAGCGTGATTCCTAACCTTACCTTGGAGATGCCAGGCATCAAAGCTGTTGTTTGCAGATCTCCTGCCTAGCAAGTCTCTGAAGACACCTTCAGGACAGACAGGAGTAGGGAGGATGAACAAATGAGGATAATGAATGAATTATCCCTAGGGAAAGTGGGTTTGCTGGGATGGGATCAGGAGCTGGGGAGGTGCAGGAGGTTGCATTGCACTTGTCAGATGTCTTTTTTGGTGACAGGCTACCTGCTTTTAGAGAGTCTCTGCCTTTTGACTGCACCTGTAGCTACACACAGGTAATGGGGCCAGCTCTCTGTCTTTCAGAGTTCAAGGTTACTCGGGATGTGATGTGAAGTCTCTCGCATCTCTTCACAGATTACAGCTTTCCTGCTGCCTCTCAGAAGACCTTGCTGAAAGGGAATGGGACGCAGGCGAAGGACAACTGGGAAGCAGCCACCAGCCAGCCGCCGGCAGAGTTCGCTGAGCCTGATGTGCACACACCTTTCTCCAGCACGCTGGAGGAAGAGGAGGGGCTGCTCCCCATAGACCCCTCAAGAGGAGGGATAGGGAGCCTCCAGACCTCGGGGCCAGAGGTGACATCTTCTGAATCCGTGAGCCAAGAGGACTCCTTCTCCCTTCTGTTTTCCACAGCCTCCACTGAGCCAGGTGGTGTGACCGAGGCAGCCATAGGAGGACAAGAAGAGGATGCTGTTCCTCCAGGCTTAGACCTCGGGAGCAGCATGGGACCAGGCCTCCTCCCCGTGTCCTCTGTTTTTTCTACTACTGTTGCTGCAAGGTCTCCCAGTGTTTCAGAAGAGCCTTTTGAGGTGACAGCTGGGGACACGTGGGCTGTTGGGGGAACAGATTCGGAGCTGACTGTGACTACTGCAGGAGCAGAGCTTGCGGAGCCCTCAACGGAGCCTGGTGGGGAAGAGCATTCAGCCAGAGAGGAGGTCTCGGAGGCCACGGTAGGGTGGGAGGTGCTGGAGCCCACAGTGTTGACCGAAACGGAGCAGACCATGGAAACGCCTGTGGGGACGCCCTCTCCTGCGGGCACCCAGACTCCTTCAGGGAGCGAGCAGCACCCCACTTCTTCTGCACCTCTGTGGAGCAGGGATGAGGAGCCTGCACTGGATCCCCTTTGGAATGACACCGAGTTGGCCACAGAGACTGTGACAGCGGAGAGGAGCTCATCACCGCAGGCTGGGGATGCCCGCATGGCGCTGCTGCCCACAGAGCTACCCTGGGACTCGGCACAGGTAGTGCTGGGATCGGGGAGCGGGTTTGGGTACTTCTCTTTGAGGGTTGGTTAAATCCTTCACCTTGCCCATGTTCCTGAAGTTTGGTGGAAGTAGCTTTTTCTGTTCACCCACCCAAAACTGAATTTTGGGGGATGTTTTTCCCAGCACTTCTTGAAGGTATCCATCATCCTTGGTGAAAGCCCTGCCCCCTAACATCTTCCCCAGTGAAGTGCTGTACAAAATCCTGCTTTTAATAAACACCTGCCGTCTGGGGCACGCACAGCAGCAAAAGCTCCTTGTTTCCTCAGCTTGCATTATTGGAAGTGTCAGGACAAAAACGGCCCCAAGGATTTCTGGAAAGGGAGTGAGAAGAAAGTGCTATTTTTGCTGCTGCCTGCAGGGACCAGATGCAGAGCAGAGCACAGAGAATTGTGAGGATGTTGGCCTGAGAGCTCGTGGGAGAGGAGGTGTGAGGTGAACGGCAGTTCCTGAATCAGGCAAACTGGCAGGAAAATAAGGAAAAATAAGTATCAGGAGCTGGATGACGAGAAAGTACCAGAGAAAGCTTTTAATTCTGCTTTCTGCTCCATAGTACTCGGGACCCTGAGCAAGCGACTTCTCAGGGATATGGCACGGCCCCTTGCTCCTCTCCCTTGTATCCTGTACTT